CGGGGGGGGGGGGTGATGTCACATAGGCAACAATTATTGATGCTATCGACGTTGGTTAATTCACAACAGGCGAATACGTGGGGGTTGCCAGAACAAAGCATCTGGAAAAAAATGACAGTACATTCTGAACCGTCTTAGTTATCAAATACCTTGGAGTCATCATTTTCCGTAATCTCTCTGGGTCTGCTCATGTCGTCGAGAAATTTAATAAAGTTAGGATACTCACATTCTACAATATTCGTTTGAAAACGCTATCTAATCCAACTCACTAAACAAAACGTTTTGACTGTTCGTGTATCCTTCCCCACTGGGTTTATGCATCCCTAGCTATTTTTCGGGTTTTTTAATCAAAGACTCCAAACTCATTCGTACATTCATCAAACACGTATGTCTATATAGTGATATATCTCGCGAAAATGTTATGCAGTTTATGATTTCACAGCACTTTAGGACTTACCAGAGACTTTCAACTACTGTAATCTCACCTTAGTAAATGTATCTCTACATCTAACACCCGCTCCAAGTATAAGCATATAGCAGTACGAATCACAATATAGAAGTCTTCTGTAGTACCGTATGTGGCACGGTTTCTTACCAACGCCGATCTTTTCATTGAGGTCCTTAAAGACAAACATATATGTGCCATTTCCACTACAGAGGAGTGATTGTGTGTTAGCTGAATGTTCATCCCCCATGGGGTGAATTAAAGCCGCAGTTTGACTTGACTTGAAATACTGCCTCGAGTGTCATTCCTGTACTTGATTGAGTTATGGTATGTTAACTGGTTAGTTTTCAACCGAACCATAGATGACCATCTATTTCCATTCGACTAATATTGCTACTGGATTGAACCAATTAGTGTGCGATGTGAAAATTCGCATAGAATTGATTCACCGCTTGTGTATCTTTAATTTTATCGACTCCATGTGTGTTGTGTTTTCCTCGCTCGTTTGATTCTTGTCACATCAACAGATGGACTGGGCGTGTGAGGTCTTCGTGAAGCTGACTGGTACCTCAGTTCTACAACAACAACAACACCCGGTGGAGAAGACATTAACCTTCTGACATTCGGTCACCGTAAACTTTGCTTTTCAGCAACCTTATCTTCATCAGACAGTGCTCGGACCAAACTGGCAAAATATCTAGAGCAACAGGTTGCCAAAATGAGTTCGGGGAAAAAGCATTTGCATCGAAAGACCGTGGGGTGGGGTGGGGTTGGGTGGGGAGGTGGGAGCAGTTGTTACGTAAAAGCTTGTGTTTCCGGTCCATTGATTAGCTGCTCGTTAGTGTACAATGCCTCCTCATTAGTGCAGTGTGTTTCAAAACAAACAAAAATCAAATCAGAATGGGACTAGGAATATGTAGAATCAAAATTTGTTGATTCAATCAGTTCACTTGCCGTGGAGTTGATCTATTTTTTCAAAAATTCCAATAGCTCCTGTCTAACTGTACATGTCCGTTCACTAAGATTTACAAATCTAATATGCTATAGATGTGCTTGTTTGTTTTACGTCAGCGATTGAGAAGATTAAACGAAATGTTAACACCTCGCGACATATGTCTTCTTTCAGTCTTGATGCGATGGATAGAGGGGACACAATGTTTCAAGAATCGTCTAAACAGTCCCACAGAGCACATTTTCAAAATAGAACAAGGAGTGGCGAACAAGCTCGTTTTCAGTGATTCGTAATCATGCCAAGTACATCACGATAAATAAGTATTACGCTGTTTATATATAAATCAGTATTCAATCGTAAAAAAAGGAAACAAATGTTTCGGGAAAGGGAAAATAACCTCATGGGTTATCTGGGGCTAAGTTCATCTTGGGACCGGATATGGAATTCTCAATGATCGCATAATTGTTAGGTCATCCGATCGTTGGGACCACTCGAAATATGGGGTGTATAGGGGGTGGGCCAGGGGAGCTTAAGCGTAATATTTATTGTGATGTATTTGGCATGACTACGAATCACTGAAAACGAGCTTGTTCGCCACTCCTTGTTCTGTTTCAAGAATCATTAGGACCGTTTAGTCGGACGTAGCACATTAGATGAAAGTGTGTGTGTGTGTGTGTGTGTGTGTGTGTACATCCAACCCTCGGACCAAA